GCTCCGCCGACTTGGCGGTGAACTCCTCGACGCGGGAGCGCAACTCCTCTTCGCTCATGCGAATCTTCCGTTCTCGGGCGTCCAGCTCAATGCGCAGCTGCTTGTCCCAGTCCTCCAGCTTGCGCTGGTCGCTGGCCAGCTTCTCCCGTTGGCGGTCCAGCTCTCGCCGCTGAAGCTCCTTCTCGATTTCCAGCTCGTAGCGAATCTGCCGTTCCCAGTTGGCGATGGAGGAGATCTGGTCGAGGGAGCGCCGTTGCTGGTGCTGGTAAAAGGGCTCCAGCAGGGCTTCCTCCTCTTCCTCCGGTCCTCCTGTCTCTTCGTTGTGGTCGCCGCCGTTTTCCCCGTGGCCATTTTGGTGCTCCTTACTACTGCTGTGAAGTTTGGAGGTGCTTTTTGAGGAGGTGAGACGACCGCCTACGCCATTTCGTTTCTGGTGAAGCACTGAGGCGGACTTGGGGCGAGTGTTTGCGGTGGTGCGAGTTGAGGGATGTCTTCGGTGGTACACTGTGGTGGTGGTGGGTGGTGTGATGGTGGTTGTGGTTCGCTTCACCTCTGATTCACTGTAAAGTGGTGAATGAAAGTTCTGTTGATTATGACTGCTATCGTTGGCACTTTGCATTTGTTTGGCGACCACGTCCTCCTGTAGAGGGGAAGTTTTGAGCGAGTGAGTTGAGTTGTTTTGATTTCCATCGGTGGTGGTTGGCGTGTAGCCATTGGTTAGTGAAGGTGCTGGAGGTAAAGTGGCAGTAGGTGGCATCTTCTCCCGTGGCTCTCCAAAGAGGCCCTCAATCTGAGCGGTTTTGACGCGCACAAAACTGTCGAGAATGTCCTTGCTCATTCTGTAGTGTCGACTGAGAGCGGTCGTCTCCTGGTGATGATGGACTGTGGTGGCTGGACTTGGTCGAAAGTTGCGAAGTGAGTTAAGAAACTGGACGCTGTTGTAGCGGTAGATGGCTGAAGGCTTGCGAGAGATGAGGTACTCGGCTAGTGCTTCCGCTTCGTCCTCCTCGTCCTCTTCTTCGTTATCCTCCGGATCGGTGGTAAAGTGCACCACTCTCGCTGGACGTCTCGGGGCACTGGCCGACTTTGATCGTTGGCGATTGGCAAAGTGGCCACTTTCTAGTGACTTACTTCGAGTTTGCTGTTGTTGCCTATGTCCTCCTCCTCCTGAGACAAAGTAACTCCTGTTGCCGTTGTTTGCTGATGGTGGTGGATGGGTACTACTCGTTGGCCTACTTCTTTGATACTGGTTCCACACAGAGATCGGCAGACGACCCTTGTTGGCACGAGGTACAAAGGTTGGCCTGAAGGTCGCTAGTCGACCGGAACTGTGGCCACTACTTGTCGAGTAGCGAGGGTACATTGTGATTATACTAAAAGAAGGAGAAAGAAGAGCAAGTTTTTTAGTTATAAACCGAAGACTGAGCTGATGAACCTCCAAGAACTCACGTGTTCGATGTTCAACAGGCGCCGGAGCCCGCCGGAGACCATTTGGCAGTGGAAGGTGATTGTGATTGATGAGTGGCAGCATGGGCAGTGATAGGAAGTAAAAGGGAGGGGAGGAAAAGGAAGAAAAATGATGATTGTGTTAGAATTGAGCGTCGGGAGAACGGGGATCGATGCCGGATTGTGAGTGGTGTGGTGTTTAGTTGGCCAGTGACACTGCCGTCTCGAGGTCTGCTTACCGTGAAGAGAGAGATTCGCCGGTAGCTCGTTGTTATGGTGGTACTTCGGCTGCCGCCGCTGCTGCTGCTACAGTCTCGTTGCCATTGACGACTGTGGTGCTAAAGTTGAACTGAAGTGCAGGGTGGAGAGAATATTCAAAAGTTGGGCAAATGAGGAGGAAAAGTAAACAAGCAAAAAAAGGGAGAGAGGTCGAAGTTCTTGCCACTGGGTAAAAGAGAGAAAGCTCGCAAGTGTTGGCACAGGTAGGTAAAGTATAAAACTTGGAATAAATTGGAGTCACTTTTGTCTTTTGTCGTTTGGCACACTTGAAGCTCACTGAAGCTGTGCTGAAGATGAGTGGATTCTCACAAAATAAAATACTTGCTCTTGTCTTCTGCTTCTGCCGTGGTCAGCACAGATCATCAGCCTTTAAAAAGCGCAGCAGCGCAAAAAAAGATGCAAAGTATATTTTATTCTGCAGCTGTCCGGTGGACGAAGCAGACCAGTAGGAGAAGAAGAAGAAGACGAAGCAGTGGCCGACGACGAAGAAGACGATGAAGACGACAGCGATGATGAGTGGTCGCTACCACCGCCACTGCCACCAGCAGGTTCAGCTACCCCTGTGCCTTGACGGCCATTCATTTCGGCCGCCGCAGGCCACTTTCTTCTTCTTCTTCCTCTTCTTTAGTGCTTCAGTGCTTCAGCGTTCCTTGCTGTTGCTGCTTCTGCTGCTGCTACCTTCGTCATTACACCTTACCTTGCATGTAATAATGCTTAGCAAGCTAAGCTTTTCTTGCTCCACCTTTTCTTTTCTCTTCTCTTAGTGATCGAAGCGCACTCTCTGGCTACTGTTGCTGTTGCTGCTGAGGTTGGACAGGTAAGTTCGACGAAGACGACAGAGACGATGGCTGCTTCGGCGAGTCAGACTTGAACTGGGAGAGAAGATCAAGGCTACAGGTGGTGGTGGTGGTAGTGGATGATAAGGAGTGCGATTGCTGAATCTTGAGGTCGAGGGTTAATTTCGAAATCGAACTTATTCGTAGAATTTTTCCATAGAACAGTTGCGCAGTTTTTAAATGGCCAACGCGCAAATGAATTTTTCTTCATTCGGCGTCACGCCATCGCAGGAGGGAACTCTATTTTGGATTTTTCGCGCACGTGATTTTTTTCGCTTCAAGCCTGATGCAATCTGATGATAATTTGATGGTAAACGTCATCTCTACTAGCTGTTGATCCACTTACCTGTTGTAGAAAAATTGCTAGAAGATGACTGAGCATTCCGACCACCACCTGAAAGCAGTGGCCACATTTGATTCCCTTTCTGCGCGGCTATGTAAAGGCCAGTTTGAAGTGCTGCAGCAGGTGAAAGTAAACAGCGAACCGGCGACCAAAGATGATGACAGTCTCATTTGGATCGAGTACCTGAAGAACGCTAAAGTGAGGACTGTTTTGAAAGCGTTGGTGACAGTTGAGGTCAACGGTCAACTTGAAGAGATCACCAAGCAGACGGGCTTCGGCGAGGAGGAGGTTTTAGAGCTTCTTCTCTGTTCGGCCATTTCTGCCCTCCAACTGTACGTCGTGGACAACTTTCTCTGCTTTGTTGATGAAGCTGCTTCAAGTGATACTAATGACCATGCCACCACTACCACCACCACCTCTTCCTTTGATGAAGTGTACCACTTCGTTGAGAGCCTCTTTGCACCAGGCGGAGAGGATTCGGAGCTATTGTACTCGCTGATATCTGATGGCGAAACGATGCATTCTGTTGGTAAGTGTTTTGATTTTTTTCTAGAGTTCTATATCTAATCTCCCGATTTCTAAAATGTCAGCTCGACACACCGCCTTTCTGAAACTCGCCCNCTGCCACCACTACCACCACCGCCTCTTCCTTCGATGAGGTGTACCACTTTGTTGAGAGCCTCTTTGCACCAGACGGTGAGGATTCGGAGCAAATGTACTCGCTGATATCGGACGGCGAAGCGATGCATTCTGTTGGTAAGTGTTTTGATTTTTTCTGGGGTTCTTTTTCTAATATCCCCATTTCTAAATTGTCAGCTCGACACACTGACTTTCTGAAACTCGCCCGCTACCTTTTGACCTTTCTGTTGAAGCACCACGACCACTCTACCAAAGCCAACTCAAGCAATGTTGGCCACCAGCAGCAGCAGCTGCACCTGTTTGTGTGGTGTCTGCGCGCCGTGGCCGTCCACCAAAGCTCCCTGAAAGCGGCCACTAGTTCGCTGTACGAGGAGACGCGGACGCTGGTGGAGCGCATCCTCACTGTCATAGAAACTGCTGATCAGCAAATGAACGCCCAGCTGAAGCTGCACCTGCTCACCGAGCTGACCAGCGCCGTTCTGCTCTTTGGCGAGGCGGAGGCCTCGAAGCGGTTGTTTGGTCTCGCAGAGGCGGCCAGTCGCCTTCAATTCAACCTAACGGGCGCCCTCGGCACTCGGACGCTCTTTCAGAACAAGCCCGTCTCGCAGTTGCTGGTGGCGGTGAAGAAGGGGGAGAACCAGAGCGAAGGGTCAGAAGGTGAGGAGGAAGGGGAAGAAGAGGTCGCTCAACCAGCGGTAAACCTGCCGAAGAACGAGAAGCTTGAGGATGACACGCTGCTCCAGGACGTCAAGTTTGTCTCCAGCTCCAGCAGCTCCTCAAGTGCTCCTTCCAAGCTGACGCCCAGCGAGCAGTGCTTCCTCCTGGCGGCCATCAAGTTCTCCCGTCGTTTTGGCGCCTCTGGGGACGCCCTCCTCACCGAGCAGCTGCTCGCCTACGTCTACCACCTGCTGGAGCGGAGCACCGTCTGGTCGGTGTCCTTCAGTCTGCTGGAGCTGCGCTCCCTCCTCGAGCGAGGCAGCCGCCGTCGGGTGGAGCGGTCGATGAAGCAGATTGAGACGCTGGCAAAGACGGTCCGCCATGAGCAGCTGTCGGTGGCCTACGAGCGGCGGTTCCTCTTTGGCGAGGCTTTCGCCCGCACCGGTCACTTCTACGCCGTCCTGCCCAGTCCCCACTGGACGGTGGAGAAGCACCTCGCCGACCTGCTGCTCTCGCTGGGCGTCCTCCGGGCGGCCCTGGACACCTACCTCCGACTGGAGGCCTGGACGGAGGTCATCACCTGCTACCGACAGATGGGCCGACCCGACAAAGCGGAGGAGGTTGTCCGCAGAAAGTTGGCCCAAGTTGAAGCCGCGGTGGCAGAAGGTGATACTTCAAACTCAAACTCAAAGCAGAAGCAGGCGGAGCTGCACTGTCTGCTGGGGGAGATCACCGGCGACCTGGAGTGCTACCACACCGCCTGGCGGCTTTCTGGAGAGCGCTACGCTCGCCCACCAAAGATGCTCGGCCTGCACTACTTTGAGCTGAAGGAGTACCAGACGGCACTGGGCTACCTCAGACAGTCTGTGGCCGTCAACTCGATGCAAGTCGATGCCTGGTACCGCATCGGTTTCATCAGCCTGCAGCAGGAGCAGTGGGAGGCGGCGGCCACTGCCTACCGTCAGGTGCTGCAGTTTGAAGCGGAAGAAGGCAGCGGCTTTGAGGCGTGGAACAACCTCTCCAAGGCGTACATCAAACTGGGGGAGAAGGCGAGGGCGATGCGCACCCTGCAGGAAGCGATCCGGCTCAACTTTGAAGAGTGGAAGCTCTGGGACAACTACATTGCCGTGGCCGCCGACGTGGGCGCCTTTGGTGAGGTGCTCGAAGCCTGGGGACGGCTGATTGACCTGAAGGGCGGGTACGTCGATGAGACCATCAGCGGCATTCTGGTGAGGGCCGTAGTGGACGGGGACATCAGGGACAGCGAGGGGGAGCCGGCGGCCACGCCCCGGTACCGCGCCAAGGTCATGAAGCTCTTTGCGAGGGTGGCCGCCACCTCGGACGGCTCGGCCGGCTTCTGGCGACACTACGCACAGCTGCTGATGGCCGAGGCGAAGAGGGAACGGGAGGACGGAGAAGAAGGGGTGAATGTGGGTGGAATGAAGATCGACCCCTCTCGCATCACCCAGTGCCTGGGCAAGTGCCACCGAAAGGCGCTGGCCCGCGACCCCGCCTGGGCCAAGGACCTGGGCAAGACGGCGGAGCTGGCCGGCCACTGTGTTCGCCTGGCGGAGGAGTACCTCGAGGTGGCGGACATTTTCGGGAATGATTCAGCGGCCTCTGTGCTGGGCAGTGGCAAGCTAACGCTCAACTCGGCGCTGGTGCTCCTCAAAAGAGCCCGGGACGACTTGGTCCTCTTCAGTGGAGAGGCAGAGGGTGGAAAGATCGGCGATCTAGAGGAGATGCTGGCCAAGTTGGAGGGCGCCTTGCAGACGATCAAGGGCGCCATTGAGGAGAAGCAGGGCGGCGCCCAGGTGTAAACACACACCAGCTGTGATTAAAAATCTAAGCTTTTAATAATTGATTTACTCTTTCACTCTTTTCAATTTCTGTTCATTTAATTACACAGGGGTGAGAGCACTTTCTCCTGGTGTTTACATTTTCCTAGAAGAGAGACTCGTGTGCTGCTGAAGAATAACGAAAACATCACTGGAGGACGCTGGAGCTTTTGTTGTTGGTTGTGGTCCCCGCAGCTTAGAGCGCCGCCGCGCCGGAGATGATCTCAATGAGCTCCTTGGTGATGACCGCCTGGCGAGTGCGGTTAAAGGTGAGCGTCAGCTTCTGGATCATCTCGCCGGCGTTCTTGCTGGCGCTGTCCATGGCCGTCATTCGGCTGCTCTGCTCGCTGCAGGCGTTCTCCTTCATCGCGTAGAAGATCAGACTGGCCAGGCTGTACTCGTAGTACGACTTGAGCACCTCCTCGTCCAGACTGTCGTAGATGCTGATCTTGGGGGAGGCGGTGATGGCGGCCGAGCTGAAGACGGGAATCGCCGTGGTCGTGTAGGAGACGACCGACTTGAAGCGGTTGTAGAGGATGATGCCGCGGTCAAACTCGTAGCCCGACTCGAGGACGTTAGTGGCGACGGTGAGGGCGTCGCCAAACTGCGGCGGCTTCTTCCCGAAGTCGTTGAACATCATGAGGATGTTGGCGGGGAACTGCTTGGCGAGCATCGCTTTCGCCTTGTCACCCACGCAGACCACCTTGATGTTGGCCGCATCGGGCTCGCTGGCCATGATGGCGCGCACCTTCTTCGCCACCGAGGAGTGCACGGCGCCGCAGAGGCCTCGATCGGAGGTGATGGCGAGGATGAGGGTGCCCGGCTTCGGCACCTCCGCCTCTTTCTCCTCCGGCGTCTCCAGCTCGGCGTTGCGGTAAAAGGCCTGGGCGCCGCTGCCAAAGGAGCGGGCGTTCTTCAGGTCGCGCTCGGCGCGGGCGTACTTCGCCGCCGACACCATCTTCATCGACTGGGTGATCTTGCGAATGTTGGTCACCGACTTGAGGCGGACGCGAATGTCCTTCAGCGTGGCCATGCCTCGCGTCTGGTTGGCCGCCAGCAGCGGCATCGCCGCCTGCAGGGTGCTGCGAGTGCCGACTCCGAGCATGGTTTGGCTGTTGATGGAATTGGGATGAGAAGGGCGGTCAGGGATTGCTGTTTGTCGGTCTACCGAGGTATCACTCACCAGAATAAAGTTGGAACCGAAGAAGAAGAAGTAGAAAAGACAGCAGATGATAGAAGACACACAAACA